CCTATATGTAGAGTGCCATATATATATATATATATATATATATATATATATATATATATATATATATATATATATATATATATATATATGCCATAATTAATGCAGTAATTTATGAAATCTACCAAATTTCTAGCATTGAATAGATTTTTATTACATTTCTCAATATTTCTAACCAAATTATATATACTATATAAAAAGATGAGTGTGCGGTGAAAAAGTAAAAACGTTAAAAAATTAAAATAAATCATGCCTTTGTTTTTGTTGACGTTTATAATATGCTTCAATTTTTAATATCAATAAAATTCATATACACATGTTAATAACGCCAAAATTTAAGGAAAATGGCTGAAGGCAATGACAAAAACAAGAAAAATAATGATAAAATAAACAATAGCACTGAAAAAAGTGATAAATCATTCGTAAATATTGTCAATGAAAACTCGATAAGACAATCTCTAACAAACCTAAAGACCAAGCACCTAAAGAACCAAGCACCTAAAGAAAAAGCAAGTGAAAATATTTTAGAATTTATTGAAGTGAAATCTAGAAAAAATGACCAAACAAAATCTGTTTTATTGAATAAAAATCACGTCGAAAAACCACTCAGTAACAAAAATCTCATTGCTTTTAAAACAATTATAAATACACAATCCGCTATTGAGCTTGAAAAGTTAAAAAAAACATCAAGCCTGCAGGACGATCATTTAAAGAGCGCCATGCACCAACAAGCATTAAAAAGTAAATTTTTAGATTGAAATGTATCATCAATACAAAAAGAAAAAAACATTCATATTGCAGATAAAGTTGCATTGGACAGCGGAATTAACGCTTCTGATAAAATTAATTCTGAACACGTTAAAAAAAATTCTAAAAAACTGAAAATCAAAACTGAAATATTAGAAGCGAAACCAAAAATTTTACCAGACATTTTTGACGTAAATGATAAAATTATTGAAAGTAAAAATTCTCAAATTGGCAAAAAAAGTGCTACAACTATAAACAAATACTTTGAAAAAGGCATTGGTATTAAAAACACGTTTAACAATATAGGAGCAAAAGTTGAAAATGATGAGTCGTCTACATACCGATCTATTTCAACTTTGAATCTTTCAGTAAACAAAGCTATCCAAATTAAAAAATCAGCAATCGTGAAAACAGTCGAGAAACTCAAGTCCAGTACTATTTTGAGCGAAAAATTTAGTAGCACCTGGACACATATAGACGACCAAGAAAGTGGTAAACTTATTGCAATGAATTTCAACTATAAATATATACGATATGTTGTTATTATAAATATAATGGGGATTATATACAACCATTATACACATTATATACATCAGACACACAAAAATTGAATTTGAATTCATTTTAATTATTAAAACGAAACTAAGTTGGCTATTGTTGATAATTTTAACAAAACAGTTAATGTACTGTATACAAAATGAAAATTATTAAAAAACTCATGTTCAATTAGCCCAATATATAATAAAAAATTTTACCGTATTAAAAACAAAAAGCAAATGTTCGAGAAAACCAAACTACTAAACGTATTAAAGTTTAATTTAAATGTATAAGATGTAAATACATATTGTATTACTGAATTAGTAATGCGCTTTTCACAAACCCAATGAATATATTTTTGTCAAATAAATAAACATATATATATTAAGAAATATCACTGCATTTTCAGATTCTGGTTCAATTTTTCCATATTTTGTATCGTATTTTTACCATCATTCTTTAACTTATTTATATATAAAAAAAAGTTTTTAACTATTTTTTTATTTATTTTTATTTTATACAGAAAAAGCTTTTCCGGCAATCATTTGCCATTTTCAATGTAGTATGTATTTCAAATATACTAATATCTGTGCGTTCCAACTTTAATGGCTCCAAAAAATGATTTTGCGTTCCTACTTTGTTGGTTCAAAGTTATATATTCTATATTTATTTTCTACAAAAAGTGGCTAAAAAGAAATATATTTATATATATAGATGAAAATCATAGCATGTTCGGCGTTAGTTAACTTCCAATTTAGCCGAACATGCTGTGATTTTCATCAATAATTACTTTTCGGACAGTCTTCATCTCATAATATAATCTCATCCAACGATCTTGTGTTCCTAATTTCTTATATATATATATATATATATATATATATATATTTCCTAATATAAATAAGGATATATATATATATATATCCTTATTTATATTAGGATATATCCTATATATATATATATATATAGGATATATATATATATATATAGGATATATATATATATATATATATTTCTTATATATATATATATATTTCCTAATATAAATAAGGATATACATATATATATATATATATGCTGTGATTTTCATATATATATATATATATATATATATATATTCATATATATAAATATATATGAAAATCACAGCATGTTCCGCATTAGTTAACATCCTGTTTAACTTTTCTTTTTTTCCAATGGTTGATCGTAAATCATTCTCAAGTTTCTTGAGTTCAAAACCACAATTTTTGTTTATTTTATGCATGATGGAACAAAGAAGCTTCTATCGGTATTCCTATACCACTTTCGATGTTCGAATTTGATACGTTGTGTATGTGGCCGGATGCCCAAATATATGTATAATGTGTCTCTACTCTAATTTAAGTTCGTAGTTGACATCAGCAAGTAGTTCATTCTTTGTCTTTATAATTAGCTCTTTTTTGGTTTTAAGTTCATGTTCCAGTCGATCATTGCGGTCGTCCACGATGTTTTTTAATAAATATTGGTAAAGACCGTCAAAAATGCAATTATCGATGATCACAGCATGTTCGGCATTAGTTAACTTTCTAACTTTTCGACTTTTCTAACGGTGAATCATTCTCAAGTTTCTCTCTTTTCTTCTTTTTCAGCTGTCACCTTAGTGTTTATTTGGTTTTAAGTTCATGTTCCAGTCGATCATTGGGATTGTCCCCGATGTGGTTTTTTAATAAATATTGGATTAAAACTGTCAGAGATGCAATTATTGATAAAAATCACAGCATGGTAGGATCGAGACAAGTATATATATATATATATATATATATATATATATATA